ATTTTGATCCCACATGGGTCAACCAGATGCCTCTGTGAAGCTCAAAAGCAGGATGGGAGCACAAGAAGACCCATTTATCTTACATTACCTCATAACGAAGAGACCATACCACATAGGCCATACTACGTACATACTATTTCTCAACAATAATTAGGCCTCAATTTTTCCTCGTCCAACTCTTGTCTCAGTTGACCAAAGGTGGTCCTTCCACCTCCCTCACCAACTTTCGTTTCCTCAGATCCCTGACACGACGCTCCCCAAGCTTTCAAGACACCTTCAACTCAATTCCCCCGTCTTCAACCCACCAAATAAAACTAGCTTAAGCATAGGGTACATCCCCATCTATTTGGGGACAATCGCCTTGCTCATCATCTGTAGGCGCTCTTTCTATACATTGACAGTACTGTACAGTAAAATACAACAAATTGCCAAAACCCTCATGCAAGTTATTCACCACACACATTCTTTTTATGTAATTGTTTCTATTTAAGAGATCTGAGCACTTGGTGGCCCATTTTTGGATTGCACCCATAAAGAGGTCCGTCTTGTGGCAAATGTGGTTATAAAGCAGCTTCAGGCGTTGCAAGTTCTGGCTTACCAGAGGAAGGCCAATACATTTGTCTTACCAATAACAACAATAAAATGATCTCAGATCTGCTGAGCTGGAAAGGACTCTATGGATCATTGAGACCAAGTCAAGGAGGCACGGGGGAGGGGGGGGAGGATCAAACACCTAACCTTTGGCTCTCCAGCCAGAAAGACCACTGAGCTATCCAGCATACATATCCATAATTATTAGCTGTGGGTCCGAAAGACCACTGAGCTATCCAGCACACATATCCATAATTATTAGCTGTGGGTCCGATGGCAATTTTTATATAAATTGCATTTTAATTGTTCTGAATTTTTATTGTATTTTAAATGTTGGTAAGCCGCCCAGAGATCTTTGGGTAGTGTGGGCAGCATATAAAAAATGAAATGAAAAATTACTGCACACGGCCATGCAACATGGAAGCATGCAATGCACCAGCCATCCTAGAGCATATAAATTAAATGAATAATAATAAAAAATTACTGCACACGGCTATGTAACGTGGAAGCATGCAATGCACCAGCCATCCTAGCTTATCAGATCTTGCCCAGTACTTTGGCAGAAGAATTCCAAACAAAACAATTTTGAGCTCAGTAAGAAGGAGATGATCAACATAATTATAATTAAGCAGACTTTGCATAGTACGGTATAGTTACAGAATAGGTTTCAGGAGTCCTAGATTCAAATCAAAACCTCTTCTTCAATATTTCACTTACCTTAAAAGCTCTGCTAAGGTCAGTTGCAACCGGGTGGCGTAAAACGCAGAGACTTTGCATAGGGTGACGAAATAGGCTTTAACCCAGCCTTTCCCAGCCTGGCACTGTCCAGACTACAACTCCCATGCTCCCCAGTCACCAGGGCCATGACGGCAGTTGGAGTCCCAGTGGATCCAGAGGGCACCAGTTGGAGGGGGACTAGCTTTAACATCTAGGCCTGGCTGCCTTCCAACCCCATGCCCTTGATCCATTGATCCAGACAGAGAAATATCTGGGTAAGCTCTGGGTCAACACGGCTACTGCAAGGGACAGGCATGGTAAGTGTGCTTCGCCAGGGACACGGCCGTGGTCCTGCCACAGAAACCGGACACAAACCTTGCATCTACACTCAAGACCTGCAAAACACAGAATATACCGGCAGGGGAAAGAGACCAAAAGCGTTTTTAGGGAAAAAAATCGGTATGTCCTCTTCATTCCGTTATTCCCCCTTTAAAAAAGAAAAAATCACCAGCAGAGACCACAGAGGTTTGCAGCCTCAAAAAAACTCTCCAGTTCTGAGTCTTTGGGCTCCGTAGGGACAGGCGCACAAGCCAGGAAGGCCAGTCCGAGAAGCCATTCACACGCCGAGTGTTGTGCTGGAAAAAAAACACAGAGTGATGCCTTTGGCTGTCCTGAGGCTTTTGGGTCACAATAACCATCATCCTCAACCTTTGTCTACGCTGCCTTGCCATGGGGGAACGGAGCAAGAGGACAGGACTTTGAGGTCCGATGGTTCCTCACCCCAGCCCTAGTTCAAATCTGACGTCAGCCGGGGGGCAGCCCCCGTGGTCCCTGAAACCCCTAAAACACTGCGTCATTTTTCCCTCCAATGAACCATCAGCAAGCAAATCCCGTTTTAATAGCTGTTCTCCCTTCCACTTGTGCCCCAAATAACTTAAAACAAGAATAACACAGAGCAGATCAGACCTCCTTGAGACGCTTCTGTTTTTGGAAATGGGGGCTACCCCCAGGCTTGCAGTAGCTGCCAGCCCATTACAAGGGGGGGGGGCAGGCCAAGCGCATCCTCCTCATGCCATAGATTTGGCAGGGGAAAATAAAGTTTTTTTCTCCCCTGACCCTTGAATAAGTCCAAACCAGATGCAAAAGTGGAAGCAGCTGCCCATTCAAAACTTTCCAGCCTCTTTGGGCCGTTTCTGTCCCTGCGGTGAATTGCTGTCTGCAAAACTTTGGCTCCCTGACCTGCAAAGGTTACTAAAGATTAAAGAGTCACTCTTCAGGTAGAGGGGTTGAGCAGAGGACTAGGTGCCAGGAGACCCGGGTGACGGGGCCAAGGTGCTCATCGCAGCCCAATTTGCCTTCCAGTCCTTTTGTGAAAGAAAAAAAAAGGAAGAATCTATGTAATGCCACACTAAATAGTAAGCGGGCGGCCACCCCATGGGCTTCGCCAGGGACACGCCAGTGGTCCTGCCACAGAAACCGGACACAAACCACAGACACAAACCACAAAAAAAAGAGGAAGAATCTATGTAATGCCACACTAAATGTAGAATAAATTTCTAAACGATATCTGGAATATTGATACTATAAAGTGTTCTGACCATGAATTAAAAGTATTGTACAGGTATTAACCCCCAGGCTCTAGGATAACATTTAGTTACAGAGCTTCAGGGAGCAGTGGTTAAACTGCAGGACTGCACTGAAGACTCTGCTCACAACCTGAGTTCAATCCCCACAGGCTCAGGTAGATGGTTCCAGGTTGACTCGGCCTTCCGTGTTTTCAAGGTCAGTAAATTGAATACAGAGCTTGCTGGCCGGGGGGGGGGGGAGGAGAATGTGTACCCTGCATCATTAAACTGTAAACTGCTCAAGAGAGTGCTTTAAGTACTATGGGGTGGCATATCAGCAGCACACTTTGCATTTCACATTGACCTTGTTTGAAACGGGGGAATATTTTCTTACCCAAGGAGAAAAGTCCAAGAGGGCAGGGAATGAACACCTCCCATGTTCAAAGAAATTTGTCTGTGCAGACTGGAAAAATGTGTTCTAGATACCTGGTGGAGCAGGTAGACATAAAAAATGTAGCCAAAATAAAACTTATATGATTTGTACTACAGGGTATATCATGACTGTGGGGCCAAGTGTGTAGTGGCTAGCGTGAAAGACTATGGTTGAGAAGTTTTTTTCCTAGTCTTGCAAACTCCCTGGGGAATAACAAGAGAAAACCACTCCTTACATACCTTGAAAACCCGATCAGGGTGCACATAACACATCCTGACGCCAATCAATGCCAATGGACCTCCGTGGAAGGAATTTCAATGGTCATTACATGTAAATAGGCCAGTTCTGTTTTCGTGCACTCCATGAACTCCCTACATTTATAACTCCACTTCCACAAGGATTTTGCAACTTTGCCCAGGGACACGCCAGTGGTCCTGCCACAGAAACCGGACACAAACCACAGACACAAACCACAAAAAAAAGAGGAAGAATCTATGTAATGCCACACTAAATGTAGAATAAATTTCTAAACGATATCTGGAATATTGATACTATAAAGTGTTCTGACCATGAATTAAAAGTATTGTACAGGTATTAACCCGCAGGCTCTAGGATAACATTTAGTTACATAGCTTCAGGGTGCAGTGGTTAAACTGCAGGACTGCAGCCCAGACTCTGCTTCATAACCTGAGTTCAATCCCCACGGGCTCAGGTAGACGGCTCCAGGTTGACTCGGCCTTCCGTGTTTTCTAGGATAACATTTAGTTACATAGCTTCAGGGTGCAGTGGTTAAACTGCAGGACTGCAGCCCAGACTCTGCTTCATAACCTGAGTTCAATCCCCACGGGCTCAGGTAGACGGCTCCAGGTTGACTCGGCCTTCCGTGTTTTC